CACAAACACGCACACTCTCTCTCTCTCTCTCTCTCTCTCTCTCTCTCTCTCTCTCTCTCTCTCTCTCTTTCTCTCTCTCTATGGCATTCTTGTAGATATATGGTTGCTGTCATATGGTCCGGAGAGACTCTTGTTGGATTGAGGGTATGACTGAGCAACGCAATAGTCCAGATACCCTTTCGAGGAGTAAGCAGTTGTGCATAAGATCGGTAGTCGCTTTCAAGTTTGTAATGGTTGTGGGTTGCTCTCAAAGACGGGACTATCGAATAACACAGAGGGCCCAAATGTTTAGAATGGATGACGACCCTAGTGATTGCTTACGACGACTGTCCTCCTATCGGAGGCTTCTGCAAAGATTGAGGAACAAGGACTGTGTGGTTCATGAATTGGGTCTCCCTATGGGTCAGTGTTGAGTAGTACCCCTGATCTTTTAGCCTATCTCGCACGATGAATCACATTGCTCTTCTGAATACGTGTTGATATCACTGTAGGTCATGCGTAAGGAGTTAGAGTGTACCGAGTTTCACGCTGTCAGTACTCTGATAGTGATTTTATGAGAATAAGAATGAGAATGGTTTATTCCCGGTTTAATGACATTTCAATGATTTCTGATTTTCTACTTTGGGATCTCGATCATCTTTTCGTTGTGATTCTGAGCCTGATCAACTAATGGTGCATCGTGGCTGCTGTTCCTTCCCTGTCACTGCTTAGTATAGCTATTGTGTAACAAGGTTTGCCTTCCATACCATAGGGAATTTGTATGAAGTGAGTCTCGTGTATCATGATGACTGGATTAGATTATTCCTAATACTTCTCTGAGGTGGTAGAGGTGACTGGAGTTTTTACCAGAACAGGAGTATGGAGGAAATCGTCATGATGATAGGCCCCATGTTTATATTTGTTTTCACATTTTGTACATGAAGGGGTGATTGCAGAAGGATTCAGGGATCAGGTATTGTACTGAAGGTCATCCGGATAGCCTTACCGATGGAGTTATGATTGGGTCTGTGCGCTCGTGTAACGTTATCGGATGAAAGCAATGTGTTCTAGCTTGGGTTATTGTGAAAAAAATGATGAGTTTATGTCATACATCTGCTTACAAAAAGGGTTGTGTCTCGACAGGAAATGTATGTGTGCATGAATAATGCCTTCGAGTCACTACTATGCCTAGTAATTGACGAACTACGATTATTGGGTTACTTCTGCTAATATTCGAAGTGTTGATTTCTGTCCAGTCTGTGATACTGTACGAAATAAAACTAAGATTCGGTGGTTTTAAGCACACTCGTCATACGTGCAAAAGGGTTAGGAGAGCAATGATTAGCCGTTGTATTTACGATTCTTCTCCCTATCGTTTATTGTCCCTTCTTCTTCTTTTTCT